ACTTTGCTTATCAACAAAGACAGGAGTAAAAGAATGTTTAGGAAAGGGTGAATTCTATCAAGTCAGCGAAATAAAATAAAAGCTGTGGCTTTAATTTCATGACAGACTCACACAGGAGTGCAGAGCAGTGACGAGTGTGGCTTCTGTTACTATGTCTTCATTATTTATTAAAGATTAACTGGAATTAGGGCTTCCTTGGTGGCAGCTGGTGAAGAATCCACCTGCAATGTGGGACACCTGGGTTTCATCCCTGGGTTGGGAAGATCCCCTGGAGAAGGGAATGGCTACCCACTCCAGTATTCTGGCCTGGACAATTCCATGGACTGTATAGTCCACGGGGTCACAAAGAGTCAGACACAACTGAGCGACCTTCACTTTCACTTTTTGCTTTAGATTGAAAAAAAAGGAAAGAACAACTATCTCAGATAGCAGTTCCTACTGGTCTCTTTCATCAGAACACAGCATGACAGCACCCAGAGGGGGAGGGTTTATTTATTTTTTTTCCCATCATGATGCTTTTTTCTTCTTCCCTCTTGTAGGTTTCACCAATCTTGCTCTTTGAACTACATACTCATGTGTATTCCAGGCATATATTTCATACATTATTATCACCAACATCTGCTGTCAAGGAACTAACCACCTTTTTTTTTTTTTTTTCAGTTTCTGCAAAAGGTTAGAACATTCTACTCAACAGTTAAAATGCATCTTGTATAACCTAGGATACATGTTAATTATTCAATTATTCTCCTTACAAGGTATTATGCAGTTGTGTCAACTTTCTCTTCCGTTCAATGAACTCAAGTAATTACGCTAGTTCTCTGAGTAGTTATTATCCAAAACAAAGCAAATCAGGAAAAAAAAAAAAAGTCCAGTTTACGTACGGCCACAGTTTGCTATCCTGGAGAAGGAAATGGCAGCCCACTCCAGCATCTTGCCTTGGGAAGTCCCAGGGACAGAGAAGCCTGGCAGGGTATAGTCCTTGGGGTTGCAAAGGGTCGGACACGACTGAGCAACTAAATCACCACCACGGTTCGCTATCGCTGCTTTAACAAGGGACCGCAAAATGAGAGTCTAAAAACAAGATAAATGGACGATCCTAGGGGATGGAGATTGGGACCCACAATGGGCTGGATCCACCTGAGCGAAAGAATTAAGGCGCTGGCGGGGCCTTCCTTTCCCGGGGCTCCTGGGGAGACTGGGTTTCCTGCTCATTTGGATCTTGGTAGAGGGCGCAGAGTACAGTATGGACATTTTAGTGGGGAGTGGAGGATGTTAGTCACACTCCCACATGAAAGGAATTAAGAGGGTGATTTTATCTAGCACCGGCAGAGCGGGGGCATGGCCACCAAGCAGAATGTTAGACACCTGGGCTGCTGTGGGGCCACTAAACTAGCTCCCTTATTTTGTCCAGATCACTGAACGTGAAGGATAACAGCTTCTTCGTACTTTTAGTAGGTGCCACCTCAGTTCATTGATTTATTAGTTCATATTCATTCATGGGACACACATTGATGGAGCTGGCACATTGTGAGGGCTGGGCACTCAGGCGACAGAAGGCAGCAGTCCCTGACCCTCCGTGGAGCTTATGCTCTAGTGAGGGAAAACAGACAAAAACTAGGTTAACTAGAGCAGTCACAAACGTATGCTGAACAGCGGTCGGTGATTCACGGTGCAAGATACAGAAAATATCCAGACCACCTGACCTGCCGCTTTAGAAATCTGTATGCAGGTCAGGAAGCAACAGTTAGAACTGGACATGGAACAGCAGACTGGTTCCAAATAGGGAACGGAGTACGTCAAGGCTGCATATTGTCATCCTGCTTATTTAACTTATATGTGGAGTACATCATGCAAAATGCCGGCTTAGATGAACCACAAGCTGGAATCAAGATTGCCGGGAGAAATATCAATGACCTCAGATATGTAGATGATACCACCCTTATGGCAGAAAGCGAAGAAGAACTAAAGAGCCTCTTGATGAAAGTGAAAGAGGAGAGTGAAAATGTTGGCTTAAAACTCAACATTCAGANTCCTAAAGGAAATCAGTCCTAAATATTCATTGGAAGGACTGATGTTGAAGCTGAAACTCCAATACTCTGGCCACCTGATGCAAACGGCTGACTCATTGGAAAAGACCCTGATGGTGGGAAAGATTGAAGGCTGGAGGAGAGGGGGACGACAGAGGGTGAGATGGTTGGATGGCATCACCCACGCGATGGACATGAGTTTGAGTAAGATCTGGGAGTTGGTGATGGACAGGGAGGCCTGGCATGCTGCAATCCAGGGGCCTGCAGAGAGTCGGAGAGGACTGAGTGACTGAACCGAACTAACTGATAGGAAATATCAGGGGTTCTGTAGATAGAGTAGCCAGGCAAAGACTCAATGAAAAGGTAGAAACCATGGGCAGAATTCCTTTTTAGAAAAAAAAGACATATATATATATATATTGGTGGCCCCACTGCACAGCATATGGGAATTAGTTCCCCACCCAGGGTTTGGAACCTGGGCCCCCTGAAGTAGAAGCTCGGAGTCCTAACCGCTGGAGCAATAGGGAAGTCCCTCCCCTCCTGTTTTACGATGGGATCACAGTCCTTTGTTTACAATCTTGTCCCCTTACGCACAAGAGGAGGTGTTCTGACCCACTGCCAGCCTGATGTCTCTATGTTGGGGTTGACGATTTGTGACAACTCAGGCATGGATTTACCAGCTTCTCCCTTTCTAGTCTTTAAGCCTCCACAAGCTTAGCAATTATATTATAGAAAAATATTTTCTTAAGACAGGTTGAGTATCAGTATATGAGTGAGACAGGAGTGATTGGTACACAGAGGGAAGATATTCTAATCTCTTTAAGTCGCAGAGTAACTTGTCAGCTCAACACTTCATTAGGTATTTCAAATCATATCATTCAAAGGTAAAATTTAAACAGGGAGATTCAATAGTTAAAAAAAAAAAAACATAATGCATTTATCATTTAATTCACGTGGAACTTTTAGCTCTCACGCTCAATCCATCACCGGCTGCTATCTGCACACACATGTTCTCTACCACCAGAGGCTTGCTATGTTTCCCACAGAAAGATAAAGTGTGAGTCCCTCAGTCGTGTCCGACTCTTTGTGACCCCATGGACTGCAGCACGCCAGGTTCCTCTGCCCGTGGGGATTCTCCACTCAAGAGTACTGGAGTGGGAAGCCATGCCCTTCTTAAGGGGATCTATGTGATCCAGGCATCCAACCCAGGTCTCCGGCATTGCAGGCAGATTCTTTATCATCAGTACCACGAGGGAAGCCCCACAGTACCCAGAGAAGGAAAAGAAAAATCGGCTGGCGTTTCTAAGAGAAGTGCATTCTTGCACATTAGTCACTCAGTCCTTCTGACTCTGCAACCCCATGGCTGTAGCCCGCCAGGCTCCTCTGTCCATGGGGTTTTCCAGGCAAGAATACTGGAGCGGGTTGCCATTTCCTTCTCCAGGGGTCTTCCCGACCCAGGGATCGAACCCAGGTCTCCTGCACTGGCAGGCAGATTCTTTACCAGCTGAGCCTTCTGAGTTACTAGGGAAGCCCTCCTGTGTCCTTACCAATTTAAAATACGTCATGTATCCCCTTACCAGTACATTGCTATTTGCAAGTTGGCTGAAATACCTCTCAGAGATCATGAATTCTCAACCAGCTTCCATGTGTGTGTGGACAGAAAGGCGTCAGCGCCAAACGGAAGAAACAAAAGGGAACATTCTGTTGAAAAGGGCATGAGACCCGGATGCCCACTGGCAATCGGTACACCCTGGGGCGCGTCACATACAATCTTTCCGCCCCTTTCTTCTGTTAACGAAGCAACAGAAGAGGCGTCAATCACGCCTGTCCTGCCTGATTTACAGAAGGACCGAACGCGGTAGTCCAGGCACAAAGTCTGGACTGCGGAGCATTAACGTACAACCACGTAAAGAACAGTTACTGGTACTCAAGCTCATTCACACAGTAAATGTGGCCACAGTGAACATCACAAGGAAACACACTGGGCTGGTCCACAGGCCTCTGGGAGCCGCCTGCTGCGCTGTGGCCTCAGGAGCACTGAGATCCATCCATCGGGATCCACACAGGCCTGATGGAGCACCCGTTATCTATGAGGCCTGAGAGGCAAAGCTGGATTTACAGCAGGGGTTCCAACGTCCAGGATCTAATGCCTGAGGACCTGAGGTGGAACTAACGCAATAATACAAATAAAGTGGGCAATAAATGTAACATGCTTGAATCACCCCCAAAACATCCTCCTGCACTTTTCCCCAGCCCATGGAAAAACTGTCCTCAGTGATACAAATGAACTTACAGAACAGAAAGAGACTCTCAGACTTACAGAGAATAAACTTACGGTTGGGTAACGTGGTGGGGGTGAAGGATGTAGAGGACGGATAGTTGCAGAGTTTGGGATGGACATGGACACACTGCTGTGTTTAACATGGAGAACCCACAAGGACCTGCTGGACAGCACAGGGAACTCTGCTCAATGTCACGTGGCAGCCTGGATGGGAGGGGAGTTTGGGGGAGAATGTGCTTCATGCTTAGTCACTTCAGTCGTGTCTGACTCTCTGTGACCCCACGGACTGTAGCCTACCAGGCTCCTCTGTCCTTGGGGATTCCCCAGGCAAGAATACTGGAGTGGGTTGCCATGCTCTCCTCCAGGGGATCTTCCTAATCCAGGGATCGGACCCAGGTCTCCGGCACTGGGGGCGGATTCTTTACCAGCTGAGCCACAAGGATACATGTACATGTATGGCTGAGTCCCTCTGCCGTCCACCTGCAACTATCCCAACATTGTTTATTAATTAGCTATACCCCAATACAAAATAAAAAATCTTTAAGGGAAAAAAAAAAAGTGTTCCATGAAACCCATCTCTGGCGCCCGAAACATTGGATACCTCTGATTTAAAGACCCTGCACGCTCACTGTGATCAGCACGCACACCGGCGCTGGCTGGCTTCCTGCAACGTGGGACGTGGCTGCCTTTACCTGGATGAGGTCCTCCCTGGAGGGAAAGCGGGAGACCAGGCAGTTCCGCCTGGTCCTGGCGTTGGTGATAGAGACGTGCAGGCGGTCGTGGGCCAGCTCATGCGCGTTGGCAGGGAGAATCGACTCCACTCCACTCCTGGAGGAGAGAAAGGGAGCGGCCTGCAGGACTGCACCCCCTCGGCCCTGCGAGCCTCCTAGCAGCCCCCACCCGAATCCCACGAGAGAGAGCCCAGGCAGTGACAGGGACGCCAGAAGCTTAGCAGCTGCAGAATCTCACATGTCCAAAGCCATAAAAAAAAATATGTAAAATAAAAGTGGTGGAGCAACACCCCACCCGTGTGTCGTGGATGGGACAAGACAGCCGAGACTGGCGGGAAGGGGAGGTCACCATTTATACGGGTAGGTGGGTTCCTTGGTTACAGCAGGGAGCAGCTCATAAGGTTGCAGGTTAACAAACATCGTGGAGGGCAGCCATTCGGCTTCATGAAACTAGCAGGTNAACAAACATCGTGGAGGGCAGCCATTCGGCTTCATGAAACTAGCAGGTGGAGCCTCTCTGGCCTAAAGATGGGGAGGATCACGGGGCAGAGACAGGCAAGGAGACGAGTGTGGCTGCCCGTGTAGCCAGGACTGGTTCAGCCGGGGGATGTACCAGAGAGCAAGAGAACTGCCACCTTGAGCGGCCTGACCGTCCACCACACGGTTCCTCTTTGATCACTGGCCTCCTCGTAAAAATCCAAGGAGCGACAATGTTGATTGAGCTTGCCACGGTCCATCCACAGCATCCCGGTTACACGCCCTCTGCGGTGAAACGTACTGTGTACACGCTTTGCTGCTCCATCATTTCCGACTCTTTGCGACCCCATGGACTGCAGCCTGCCAGGCTTCTCTGTCCATGGGATTCCTCAGGCAAGAATACGGGAGTGGGTTGCCACGACCTCCTCCAGGAGGAGGAATCTCCTGGAATCTTTGTGAATCTTTGTGAATCCAACCCGAGTCTCCTGTGTGTCCTGCATTGGTAGATGGATTCTTTGCCACTGTGCCACCTGGGAATATATATATTCCCAGCTGGAATCAAGATTGCCAGGAGAAATATCAGTAACCTCAGGTATGCAGATGACACCACCCTTATGGCAGAAAGTGAAGAAGAACTAAAGAGCCTCTTGATGAAAGTGAAAGAGGAGAGTGAAAANTGGATGGCATCACTGACTCAATGGACATGAGTCTGAGCAAACTCCGGGAGTGGGTGATGGACAGGGAGGCCTGGTGTGCCGCGGTCCACAGGGTCGCAAAGAGTCGGACACGACTGAGCGACACAACTGAACGGATTGATAAATATAAAAATACTTACCTCAATCGGGCCATGAAATCATAGCCAGGTGTCAGTGCCCCAAGAGACTGCCTTCGGATTTCTTCGGCAAAATCACAGGTAAACTTGTTACATTCCTGAAAGAGAAAAGTAACAGGTCACCCTATGTTTTGTCAGAAAAAGTCGTTCTGGTTCCAGAACTCTGTGCCCACCACACAAGGTAATTATATACGTAAGTGATAGTTGCTCGGTCCTGTCTGACTCTTTGCAACTCCGTGGACTGTAGCCCGCCAGGCTCCTCTGTCCATGGGATTCTCCAGGCAAGAACACCATGCCGTCTTCCAAGGGATCTTCCCAACCCAGGGATCGACCCCGGGTCTCCGGCACTGAAGGCAAATTCTTTACCATGTGAGCCACCAGGGAACCCTGCCAAACATCCTGGACCCTACAAAGCTAACCCCAGAATCTCTTCTGGGCCTGATCCTCCTTCTGGTTTTTACCCACCATTCCTGGTCCCCAGGCAAGCTATGTGTTCTCCCAATTACCATCTGTTCTTTTTCTTTTTTTTCAATCGCCTTTGGAAAATCCTTGCAGGTTGGATTCCAATGCTAACTGAGCCCTTTCTTCCTACAGACCTCCCTAAGGCAACTCCTCTCTCCCACGACAGTTCTGTGGCCTCAGAAACATTTCAGTTGCCGCTCGGCAATAGCGCTGACAATTAACACCAACCCTGACAACCGAGAAAGGAGCTGTGATGACTGTCTGCAAAGAGCAGATCACAGTCTCTGGAGATTAGTGCGGGGCAGAGGTGTTCAATAAAAGCCCCCTGCTCCCTAAGTGGGGTCTAACAGGCAAGCCAACGCTGGGTCCTCTGTCGGCACGTGCTCACGTAAGAATGCAAGGTGGGTTACCATAAGGAAGATACAGAGCCAGTGGGAATCTGCTGTATGGCTCAGGGAACTCAAACTGGGGCTCTGTGACAACCTAGAGGGGTGGGATGGGGAGGGAGGTGGGAGGGGGGCTCAAGCGGGAGGGGACAAGTTATACTTCTAACTGACTCACATTGCTGTAAAGTAAAAACTAACAGAACACTGGAAAACAACTGTGTGTGGTGCTAGTCGCTCAGTCCTGTCTGACTCTTTGCCACCCCATGGATTGCAGCCTGCCAGGCTCCTCTGTCCATGGGATCCTCCAGGCCAGAATACTGGAGTGCATTGCTTTGCCCTCCTCCAGGGGATCTTCCCAGCCCAGGGATCGAACCCAGGTCTCCTGCACTGCAGGCGGATTCTTCACCATCTATGTGAGCCACCAGGGGAGCCGGGAAAGCAACTATACACCAGTGGGAAAAAATATCCTATGACAAAGCATAATAGAAAAGAATATTAAAAATTAATGTATATATATATGTGTGTGTGTGTGTGTTTAACTAAGTCACTTTGTTGCACAACAGAAACGAATAACAACTGTAAATCAGCTATACTTCAATAAAAAGAAATAAGAAAAACAGAATGTGGGATGGGAGGTGCGACTTAGTTTTAAAAGGAAGGGGATATATGTATACCTATCTGACTCATATGGATCTATGGCAGAAACCAACACAATACTGTAATTATCTTTCAATTAAAAATAAATAAAGGTTAAAAAAGGAAAAAAAAACAACAACAACAACAATGCCAGGTGGATACAATGGCCACACAGGACAGATAGGAAAACTGAAGTTTGTAGGGTTAAGCATCTTTCTTACTATGTCATGAAGAATGAGTGTCACAGCCAGGATTTGAACCCAGATCCATCTTTGATTTTTTTAGCTCATCCATCCAGCAAGCTACTTGGCCTCAGGCCTTGGGCTAGGCACTGGGATTCACGAGATACACAGAGCCCCTGTGTGAGGGGAGACACTGCCTGAAACCGCCCATCCTAACTCGGCCCGATACTATCCGTTTACGTGAGTTATTTTACGACAGGAGGTTCCTGGTAAGGAACGTCCAGCTAACAAGCCTCCACCAACCGGAGGAGTTCGGGGAAGGTCAAAAGGAGGACACCACATGTCCTTCCACTTCCCAGAATCCTTCTTGCTTGGCATTCATCTTGGCTGAGCAATGCATGAACCACCAGGAAGGCCCATGGGTCAGACGGATTGCCCAGAGACAACCCGGAGACTAATCCCATCACCCTGAATCCCCAGACTGCGAGCCACGTGTCAGAGCGGTCCTCCTGGGTTCCCTCACCCACCTGCTCTCCACCCGGGCACCCCTTCCCAATAAAGTCTCTTGTGTTTAAAATGTTGTGCTTTTGAACACTTAAGTGTGAACTGAAATGCATCCCCGGGCATGGAAGTGTTAATCATTATTCGACGACTATTGCAAGTGGTTAAGAGCATGCACGTAGTTAACAAATAGAATATTTTCCACCCGCTGAGGCCAGTTCTCAAAGTCAGAGTGCATCACGATGGTCTAGAAGCGGAAAATTGATTTTAAAAACACTGTTGTTGTTGTCCTTTAGCTGACTGTCCAGAAGCAGAGAACAGATTTTAAAAACAGTGTTTGTTGTTATTGTTTAGTTGCTAAGCTGTGTTGAAGTCTTTTGCGACCCCATGGACTATAACCTGCCAGGCTCCTCTGTCCATGGGATTCTCCAGGCAAGAATATTCGAGTGGGTTGCCATTTCTTTCTCCAGGGGATCTTCTGGGCCCGGGGATTGAACCAGAGTCTCCTGCACATCAGGCAGGTTCTTTACTACTGAGCCACCATGGAAGGCTTAGAAATATAGACTGCATTAAAAATGAAACACTTAATGAAAGCTTATTATTATTACTACTATATACACTACTTGAAATTCAGGGCTTCTTACTGTGGGAATGAAAAAGATATTAAGTTCCACTATCATTCCACTTAAATTACAGGGTCACGTTTGAGTTTATATGCCTGTCTGTAAGTAGAAGCAAGCAAAGACGTGATCAGCCGCGTGTTCCAGGCCTTGAGAACAGGCCCTGTGTTCTCACGATCAGTTAACAGAGAAGTAAACCTTGGCTTGAAAGCAACAAAGCTGGAGTCTTAAGAATAAAGAAACACTCACGAGCAAAATAAGGCACTTTATTTCCTTGTCTTATTGGCACCCCCCGAATAATCTTCTTCTCCAAACGGGGAGCACAGCTCTCTAACAGTTACATTTTAAAAGAAGTCTTAACCTTTTTGGTTTCCTAGGCAAAGGAGGACTTCTATGCAGTTAACTTAATAGAGTTAAACAATCATCTTCGCTGTTTGTTCTTAATTTATTGATGAGAAGCACAGCCTAGTTACCACTTAATTACCTCTATTTTCTGCGGCGCCGTGAGGAGAACTGAAGCAACCAAGGATCCCGCAGAAGCTCCGGCAAAGGCCTTGACAACCTTCAGCAGCTTTCGGCCGTGTTTGCAAAGTGCCGATGCTGCCCCCAAGTGGTAGATGCCCAGAAACCCACACGCTGCAAACGACAGGTTGATGTGTGGCATCCTAGCTGCGAAACTGGGGAAACAAAACCCAAGAAAGAAACGTCCGTAAGGTGGCATAGTTTGTTCCACACGGATGATAGTCATCATTCCTTAGAAGTGATGATATAAATACAATTATGCATGTTTAATTATATAAATATATATATATACACACACACACACACAAATATATATGTACATGAGCTTCCCACATAGCTCAGTTGGTAAAGAATCTGCCTGCAATATGTGAAACCTCGGTTCGATTCCTGGGTTGGGAAGATCCGCTCGGTGGAAAAGGGAGAGGCTACCCACTCCAGTATTCTTGGGCTTCCCTTGTGGCTCAGCTGGTAAAGAATCTGCCTGCGATGCAGGAGACCTGGGTTGGGAAGATCCCCTGGAGAAGGGAAAGGCTACCCACTCCAGTATACTGGCCTGGAGAATCCCATGGACTGTATATATAGTCTGTGGGGTCACAAAGAGTATGTATATGTGTCTCAGCTCAGTCGCTCAGTCATGTCCAACTCTTTGCGACCTCATGGACTACAGCCCGCCAGGCCTCCCTGTCCATCACCAAATCCCGGAGTCCACCCAAACCCATGTCCATAGAGTCAGTGATGCCATCCAACCATCTCATCCTCTGTCGTCCCCTTCTCCTCCTGCCCTCAATCTTTCCCAGCATCAGGGTCTTTTTAAATGAGTCAGGTCTTTGCATCAGGTGGCCACAGTACTGGAGTTTCAGCTTCAGCATCAGTCCTTCCATTGAACACCCAGGACTGATCTCCTTTAGGATGGACTGGTTGGATCTCCTTACAGTCCAAGGGACTCTCAAGAGTCTTCTCCAATACCACAGTTCAAAAGCAAATTTTCTGGCATAAGCATATTTTCAATCAAAATCTGACTGAACATACAAATCTTTCAAGGAAACACTTTCTTTTTCCTCGCTCACCTTAACCCAATATAATCATATTAATTTAAAAAATTAACAACAGTTTATATTTGTTCAGTACATAGACTATGCAGCCTACTTTCTAATTACTTGGCAAAAAGCAAATGGATTAATTTCAACTGGCAAGGCATCTGGCCTTGTTTATTAACCTTTTGAAACATTTGGGGGCCTGGGTGATTGGTAACATTAGTAACATCACTACAGCCTGTAGCAAACTCCAGATTAAAGACACATTTGCCCTTTGCAAGTGGCATTGGTAAATTTAAAATAGACAGCTTGGCTCCCTACCTGTTTCCCTTGTGAGTATTCCCTTGTTTTTTGTTTTGCTTTTGTTTTTAAACTGATGCACACAATTATTCCATAATGCAATACTGAATTGTTCAACAATGCAATGTATTTCATAGGGAAGTTTCTCAAGACAAACTGAGATGGCGACTGTCAAGGGCAACTGAAGGCCCAAAGAAATGCCACCTGCACCATCTGATGTTTGCAACAAATTTAACTGTAAAATATTTTCCCCCCTAAACCTCTGGGGGCACAATTTCACCATATGTATAAAACATTTACCCTTGCAATGCTCTTCACTCGGAAGCTCTCCGAGTGAACAGGAAAGGGGTGTCACACTGGATTTCGGTACCTTCAGATTAGGTACTTGGCCTGGGCCTGCAATTTAGGAACCTAGGGCCCTGATCCATCCTAAAGGAAATCAGTCCTGAATGTTCATTGGAAAGACTGATGCTGAAGCTGAAACTCCAATACTTTGGCCATCTGATGCCAAGAATTGATGCTTTTGAACTGTGGTGTCAGAGAAGACTCTTGAGAGTCCCTTGGACTGCAAGGAGATCCAACCAGTCCATCCTAAAGGAGATCAGTCCTGGGTGTTCATTGGAANCCCCCTACCAACGCAGGTCTGAGGCACTTCCGCTCAGAGCAGCAGCCTCCCGCCCTCAACCGGAACCGGAAGGCGGGGCCGGGCTGTCATTCAACTTGCCCCCGCCGATTACGGCGGGGCGACGCGCGCCTTGGGCCCGCCCAGGAAGGTTCCGCGGACGGAAGGCAGGCGCCCGGTCTAGGACGTCATCGCGCTGACGCCGGCGTCGCTCGGCCCCGCCTGCTCCGTTGAAAATGCCGGACTCAACATGGCGGCGCGCGCTCCGCCCGCTTCACCCCGGTGTTTCCTCTCGCGCGGGTAAGGGAGACGACATTCTGGGCTCGTACCGTCTCCGGATAGGTAGGGTCGGCCCTTACCTGCGAGTCCGTTAACCACCGAACGACCTGCCTGTGCCTTGCACCGGAAGTGCTTGGCTCTGTGGCCGGCCGTTTCCCGGAAGTGGTTTCCCGTCTCCGCCTCCAGGCGGGTCCGACTGTCCGTGTTAGGGCGGGCTCTAGGGGCCACCTTGGGGTTGGCCGTCCCTCGGCTTTTGCGAGGCAACCTGTGATTTGTTGTCCCTCAGCATTATTGGAGAGGCCGAACTACGGCTTTGGGCAGCGTTCGGTTCCTCAGGCCGCCTTAGGCTGTGTGGACGCGGGTTGTGTTAACCTTTCTGAGCTTCCCAGCTGAGTTCTCTGCAAAACGGGGTGGCAGAATGCGAGCTGGCGCTCACTCGTGGAAGTTGGTGCTTCAGAGCCGGCCTGCAGGGGACCAGCCTCTTGTTTTCGTCAGTGGGCACCGCTGCCCCTCGATAGACCTCAGCCTGGCGGCCCGCACTCGGCTGGCATTTCCATCCAGAGGCAAAGGAGCGGCGGCTCCTTCTGTCCCCGAACAGTGTCGTCCCTGTCTAATCCTAACAACCAAGCCTGGAGGAATTGGCGGGCTTTGTGGTGGAAGGTGGCACAGATCCCCTTGTTGGAGGACAGGTTTCTTCCCACCGAAGCTACAGAAGAGAATCTGAAAAATGCCAAGAGTGTCTCTAAGCAGGAGAGGGAGTGGGCGGGAGCTCCCCTAAATGGCCTTTCCCCTACGCCTCTTCTTTCTCCCCCATTTGAGGTGCCAGGGCCCTGAACTCTGCCCGAGGACACTTTCTGTAAGCAAGAACCCCGGATGTGATGACTAAGGAGGCGGGGTTTTTTTTTTCTCTCCTTGTAAACAGCCGATCCCAAAGACATCCTAACAACTATGCATAGTACAACTGCATTATGCTGAATTCTTGACTCCATTAGGATTTAGTGAAGGGTAGGGGGAGTGTGTATCAGGAATTGTAGAAGGACGTGCTGTTCAATATTTTCATCCTTCCGCTGCCTTCTAACTCTCTGGTAGGGTGTGGTCTTCCCAAGAGAGCATCCTCCAGGGCATTTACCGGAAAGGAGGAAGCCCAGTCCTCAAATCTCCTGAAGCACAGTCTGCGTTTTAGCAGAATCCCCAGATGTTGCTCTGCATGCTAAAGTTGGCAAAGCCCTGGCCTAAGGCCTGGGATGGTCTGGCTTAAAGTGATGTGGGGGCATCACAATTGTAAGAAGAGATAAGGTCCGCAGGGCCAAAATATGTGGTGGCAGGGCCAGCTGCTTCCTGCATTTGGGCACTGCCAGCAGGTTGAGAAGAGGGCGACAGAGGCTGAGATGGTTGGATGGCGTCCTCGACCCAATGGGCACGAGTTTGAGCAAACTCCAGGAGATAGGGAAGGACAGGGAAGCCTGGTGTGCTGCAGTCCGTGGCGTCGCAGAGTCGGACATGGCTGAGCAACAGCGACAAAAACAAGCACGTTGATTCTCAGAAGACAGATGAGAAATGTGTCCCTGGGCCAGCAAGGATGAACACCACGACTCTGAGATCCTTTGTTAAAAGGGAAAAGGAGATCACCTGCCGGTGAGTGCAATCCCACCACATTTAAGGGTCACGGAAAAGTGTTCACAGGCTCCATAATATAACTCTTAACAATTTAAACTCTAAAAAATAAACAAACATCCCTCTTCTCTCCTTTTTAGCCCTTGTTATACCTACATGCAACTAATTAAAAAGTTCATTTTCATGCAACTAATTAAAAAGGTTCAGTTACCTTTCGTTTCCTTAAGGAAGAATATCAGATTTAAGCAAGTTTGTTTTCATGATCTTAGCTCCGAGCATAGTGCTTGTCATATAGTGCATGATTAATAAATATTTGTTGTGATTGTTGGATTTAAATAAATTACTCTTGTGAGTAAATAGTACTTTTAATTGCCCTTTGAGATTTTTATTTTTTTTAGTAGATCTTTCCTGTTGTTGCCTGTTTTCCCTAGTGACTTAGTTTTGAACTGGCTTACTTAGTAGCCATTTATCCAACATTTAATAAGGATCCCTTTGTTTAACAGACACAGTGCAGGTACCGGGCACACCCAGTTAACCAGAATTCATTCTTGCTCACTTAGAGCCTAGCGGGCGGGGAGGCAGTCAGTGTGTAATTGTAGAGGCGTGATCGTGCGCTGGTACACGGACACGCCGAGATGCTGTGCGTGTCCACACTGAACTGGGGCGTAGTGAACCCTCAGCTCTGGGAGGCAAGCACGAGAGCAGCTGGCACAGAAGCAAAGTGCCCAAGGCTTTCCCTGTCCTCAGCTGGAGTGCCAGTCACTCAGTGGTGTCTGACTCTTTGCAACCCTATGGACTGTACAGTCCATGGGATTCTCCAGGCTAGGATACTGGAGTGGGCAGCCTTTCCCTTCTCAAGCGGATTTCCCGAGCTAGGAATCAAACTGGGGTCTCCTCCGTTGCAGGCGGGTTCTTTACTAGCTGAGCTATCAGGGAAGCCCGTCCTTCAACTTCCTCCTACAAAATTTGATCACATGTTTTCATCAAGGAGAAAGATGCCGGCAAGGGATGCTTGCCACCCCTCTGCCCCGAGGACAGGGCCTTATCCGAGAGTCTCTCCTGTTCCAGTCTGCTGCCCATGTGGTGGGATTTGTGTTCCAGCCTTGGCATATTAGCACAGGTGAAGAGGTCTGGGGGACATGCCATCACACCCTTGTGGTCCCTCCATGTGGCGGGTCCTCACTGTGTCACCTCCTCCCGGAGCTCTGCATGCTGAGCCTGATGGAGTTGAAAGAGGAAATACACAGGCCTCAGTTCCTGGGGGTTGTGGCCAGAGCGTTGGCCCACCAGCAGCCCTCGCCCCAGGACATCACGGTGGTACCGCAGGTCGCCGTGGCCTGGTGAAAGCATCCCTTGTGTCGAGACCACCATGGAGTCCTGAGGAAGGCACTTCTGCAGTCCCGGAGTAGACCATGCGCTGGGAACCCACAGAGATGGAGGCTGCGTTCCTTCCCACGGGTTGTCGTCCCTCGGGAGGACGGGCAGGCGGTGAGTGATTCCACAGGGAGGGAGCCAGCCTGGGAGGAAAGGCCGCTTAGAGGGAGTCAGCGCAGAGCGGAGGCTTCCCCGGGGCTCACCGGTAAAGAGTTCACCTGCGATGCGGGACGCCCAGGTTCCATCCCTGGGTGGGGAAGATCCCCTGGAGAACGGAAAGGCTGCCCACTCCAGTATTCTGGCCTGGAGAATCCCATAGACAGAGTATCCTGGGGGGCCACTGGGTCGCAGAGAGGCAGACGTGACAGAGCGAGTGAGCATAGCTCAGCGCAGCACCGCGCTGGGAGACACAGACGGGGAAGCTGGCCTAGGAGGTGTGATGGCATTTGTTGGGCCTGGGGAGGCTCCTCCCCATACCACACCCACCCTTTTCTCTTTGTTTTCTTAAAGGAGTTGAAACTGAATTTCTAAATCTCGCAAGCAGAACTGTTCTTCATAGTATAAGTGCCTTTTCCCTTACACCTGTTTTCTGTCTGTTAGAAATAAGCTAGAAGAACTGACCACTTGAAGTAAAACTTGGTGACTCTAATCTAAATGGAAAAAAAAAATTTTTCAAACCATGTATGAATTCTACATGTAATATATTTTTGTTATATATGTATGTATATGTATATATATACATATATATGTATGTGTATATATATATAAATAGCCTTCCCAGGTGGTGCCAGTGGTAAAGAATGGTAAAGAATCTGCCTGGCAATGCAGGAGACATAAGAGATGCAGGTTTGATCTCTGGGTCAGGAAGATCCCCTGAAGGAGGGCATGGAAACCCACTCCGTTATTCTTGTCTAGAGAATCTCCTTGAACAGAGGAGCCTTATGGGCTAAGGTCCATAGGGTCACCAAGTGGGATACGACTGAACCGATGTAGCACGCAGGCGTGCACGCATATATGCAAATGTATGTATTTAATGTGTGTGTATATATATGTGAAACAGAAGACGATAGTAACATCTCAAAACAGTTTAAAACTAGGGGTCCTTAAGAAGTGTCAGTTACTTGATACATCTGAAAATATACAGTACAGATCTTAACATAGCCTAGAAACTAAATATCAGACTTTTTCCATTAGAGAAGCATTTTTTAAAGTCCAATAAAAGAAAATCTGTGTTCTTTGCCCTGTTTTCTAAAAAAATTTTTGCATTGTTGTTGTTGCCAAACAACGCTGCCCTTGACGTGACTGTTTGAGATCCACAATTTGTAAAGATGTTGCAAATAGGCCTTCTTGTTATGCTTCACGTAGTTATCTTCCAGGGGAGGGAATTATTGGGGAAATTAGATCAGTGTCGGAAAAGTGATGCTGCGGAGGAATACACAGAATGTCATCTTTGGTGAGTTGTGCTTCATCAGAGTCACCAGAATACCACTCTGTTTTAACTCGGACCGCAGGGCCTGACCATTACTGACACTGTCATCAAAATAGATACCGTAATTGCCAAAACATCCCCTTACCTAATCACCTCATTTCAAACGGAGAAAATAAGAGTTCTGATCCCTTTCGTTTTAGCCTGTACTCCTATTTGCTGGAATTCTATTGCTAATAATTATTATACCTACTGACTGTCTATCCCATGTCAGTCCTTTGTACCCAAGGCCTCTTGTAACTTTTACAACAGTGATGACAAGTGGGTATATACGATAAAGGAGAACTTAGAGCTAAAATGGTTTTCCCACATCCGCACGGAGGCAGAGATTATCAGCCCCAGTCTCCCTAATTCCAAAGCCTGTACACAGACCTTCCTTCCCTACATTGGCTCAAAGATGAGAAATAATCTCAATAATGAGATGTGTAAATATGTGTCTCTCATCATGTGTCCAGGATTGCACTGATTGGCCATTATGAGTATCAGAACCTTGTTATCCATTCAGTCCTTGCCTTGGTCAGAATTTGTACATGGTCTTCAGAATTTGCCGGGAGCCAACACACGAGACCCTACCCATGACAAGGCCGTGAGGGGGAAAACCTGACGGGCAAGGCGGATCAGGTTTTCAGGGGTTTCGAAAAGGCCAGCTCACGAGATCCCACCCATGGCAAGGTCACGAGGGGAAAGCCTGACAGGCAAGGCGGATCAGGTTTTCAGGGGTTTCGAAAAGGCCAGCTCACGAGATCCCACCCATGACAAGGTCACGAGGGGAAAGCCTGACAGGCAAGGCGGATCAGGTTTTCAGGGGTTTCGAAAAGGCCAGCTCACGAGATCCCACCCATGACAAGGTCACGAGGGGAAAGCCTGACAGGCGAGGCAGATCAGGTTTTCAGGGATTCTGAAAAGCTGCCCCCGGCGCTCACCGTAAAGATGACATTTATCTTTCTGATGCCTGCCTCAATGGATTCTGACACAGGCAGGAAGGCCTTCCCTGATCTCTTCCCCAATAAGAGTCGATTTAGAACCTTAATCATTAAGTTTCCCAGGTGGTGGTATTTTATGAGATTATCCAGTGTGAAAGGAGTGTTTTAATTTAAACTCCTTTGCTGGTAGTTTGTTAGCCAAATGCATTTATGCCGTTGGTACTAATATGCATGATTGCTTATAATATCCTAATCATAAAATAGCATAAAGAACCTGATTATATAAAAGCTCTAATAGACATAGAGCCTTTTTAAGGGGTAAAGGAGTCCTATTAGAAAACATAAGAAAAATTATTCTATAGGTGGTTATTGGGTTGACGTTTGCTTGCTGTGTTTTTCTTGCTGTGTTTTTGCTTTTAATGTGCTAAGGCTGTGTTATAGAAACCATTGTTAATATAGTTAAAGATCTAGAGACATAAGAACTTAGCCCTAGCGTGGTAACAATGAGATGGTTGTTAATTGTCAGCCAGGAGTGCTAGGCAGAAGCTGCCTCACCAAAGTCGCAGAGTCAGTGTGGGGTAAACTTCTTAGATAAACGCAACTGACAACTTCTGCAGAAGGATTAATTTTTGTATTAACAAGGTTATATTTCTACTCTGTACTGTTGCCCTATGAGACTGCTACCTTTCAGTTAAGGTCACCATAGAAACGGAAAATAGGTTTACAATTACCTGACCTGCATAAAATGTTAATAAGCCCCAAGGCCAGAAGATCCTGTGCTAAGAATTACTAGAATTAGAAAGCAAAAAACATCCTGCTTTTCCTAAAAAACAAAATGATGTAATACTAATCCTGTGTAAGCGTGAGTAAGCATCTTGTACCTTGAAAACGTTCTGAATAAGGGTATGAAACCTACTGTCAAAAAGTAAAACACAGACTTGGCCCTATCAAGGCTGGTCTCACGTGTCTTCTCTCTCTCTCTCTCTCGCCGACGCCTTTCATCCCGAGGGTACCCCCTGGATCCTGCCGAGGCTGAA